AATCTAAAAAAATATGTTTCTAAAAGTCACGCTGCTGGTCGTGCATCCAGACAGAAAAAAATATTTTACAAAACGATATAATAACAGCCTCTTAATTCAATTCTGACGTTATGATTTCCTACTTTCACTGTTGTTTTTTTTCACCTTAAAATATCTAAAATACTTAAATGGGAAATAATTCATTCATTCGAAAAAAACAAGAACGTTCCGAATTCATCATATTTTTCCCATTAAAAACAAGATCCACTCTAATACATTTACATAACAAACCTGCTAGGTTCTTCCATTAAAAAAAATGCAGGCTATAGTTAACCATTATTCTGTGACTACTGTACATGGTAAAATAAAAATATAAATCATAATACAATACCTAAGGTGTGTAAGATCCACTCTAATACATTTGCATAACAAAGCTGCTACGTTCTTCCATAAACCAAAATGCAGTTAGTTAACCATTATTCTATAACTAAGGTACATGGTAAACTAAAAATATAAATCATAATACAATGCCTAAGGTGTGCGCGAATTAATTAGAAGGGCGTTCGTGGAATCTGATGAGGCAGGCGGAAAACAGGCCATCAAATTGCTCTCTTCATCTCAGGCACCCAGGCGATGCTGCCAGGGGAGACAGTTGCCAATAGTTCATTTGCATTCACGATTTGCCGTTGATTTTATCATCAGCGAGGCGAGAGAGGCTTAAACGATGTTAAAACCCTTGAAAAGTATTTAAAACACACACACACACACACACACAATATATATATATATATATATATATATATATATATATATATATATATATATATATATATATACACACATATATATATACATACATACATACATACGTACATATGTATATGTATGTATGTATGCATGTATGTATGTCTGCACGCATGCATATACAGATGTATGTATGTGTACATTATATATATATATATATATATATATATATATATATATATATATATATATATATATATATATATATATATATATGTATGTATATATATATACATTATACATACATATGTATATACATGCATGCATGTATGTGTATACGTATGTATGTATATGTATAATATATATATATATATATATATATATATATATATATATATATATATATATATATATATATATGTATATATATATATATATATATATATATATATATATATATATATATATATATATATACATATATATATATATATATATATATATATATATATATATATATATATATATATATATATATATATATATATACATATGTATTATATACACATGCATACATACGTACATACATAAATAAAAGCATACATACATACCTGCATAGATACATACATATATACATACGTGCACACACACACACACACACACACACGCACATATATATACATATGTATATATAATACACACACATATGTATGTACATATAAAGCTAGGCATACAGATAGATAAACAGAGATACAGACAGGTAGACAGATTAGCACATACACACGTACACACATACATACATACATCATAATCCCATGTAAAAATAAAACAAAAAACAGATCCACACACTTCCTCAGATTACGAGAGGAAGTATCCTGCAACACGAACGAGCGTGCGCGTCTGCAACAGTAGCAACGAGGATGATATCAGTTGCACCGATACTGCGAGCGCGCTGTTGCAACAGGTGCGTCCTGGTCGAGAGGGCTTGCACGACTCGCCGGGAAACCTGTGTGTATTCTCTCTCCTGATATTTGTCGATCATTGAAGGATTTTCTTGGGTGTTCGTTGATTAATAAGTTGGTTGGTTATTTTCTATCTAAAAAAATTAATAGATATTTTGAATAAACTCAAAATATCGAGAACACTTACAAACACATACACACGAATTCACAAACACACAAACACAAAGGCACATAAGCATACACAAACACATATACAAATACACACACAAATTCACACACATGCACACAGACACACACACACACACACACACACACACACACACACACACACACATACACACACACACACACACAGAAAAAACGACCAATCCACTTTGCTTTTCTCATTCATCACGAACTTAAAATGTATTTTGACATTGTCTGGGAAAAAGAGGAAAAAATATAAGAAATGGAGGGATTTGCAGTTGGAGAAGGAAGGAAGGAAGGAAGGAAGGAAAGAAGAAGGGAAAGGAGGGAAGGAAGGAGGGAAGGAAGGAAAGGAGGAGGATAAAGAAGGAAGGAAGGAAGGAGGGAAAGAAGGAGGGAAGGAAGGAAGGAAGGAAGGGAGGAAGGAATGAAGGAGGGAAGGAAGGAGGAAGAAAAGAAATAAAGAAGGAAGGAATGAAGGAGGAAAGGAAGGAAGGAATGATGAAGGAAAGGAAGGAAGAAAGAGGGGAAGGAGGGAAGGAAGTAAGGAAGAGAGGAAGGAAGAAGCGTGAGAGAAATAATAAGGAAGACAGATAAAGAAAAAATTAATGAAATATATCGGCCGCAAG